CGAGCCGACAACTGCTTTTGGGGAGCACTGCTTGCACCGCTGCAGGGCTCAGCCCCGGTGCCCTGCCTCTCCTCAGCACCCAGGCAGCAGGGAGGGAAGCTGAAAGTATTGTTTTAAAAGATGCTGTAAATGACATTTTGTCTTGCCTGCTGCCTGCCTTCCTTTTTCCAGACCTGGGGGCTTTGGGCTGGAGAGGAGCCGGTGGTAATTCGGAGAGCCGCGCTCCCCTGCCTGCGAAGGCGGAGGACGGGAAAGGAGCCACCGGCGCCTGGGGCTGCTCTCCGTGGGTTATAGGTCTCTGGTAATAACGACCTGAGCGCGTGCTGAGCTGGCACATTCCTTCAAGGAGCTTTTCTGTTTGAAAGGTGAAAATATGTCAAACAAATTTAAAATGCTTCAGGTTTTATTTATATTTCAGCCTAGGGAGAATTGGATGAAAAATGTAAGGAATGTCCAGGGCTCCTTCCCTCATCAGGGCTGCGTTTAAACCTGGGCTGTGCATGAGGCGTGCTCAGAGGCCAGCTCCATGCTGAAGCGGAGCAGAATTAACCTCAATTCTCCTCTTTTTTTACTTTTTTCCCTCCCAGCAGGGCTACATTCTGCTCCCAGTCGCTCTGTGCCTGGAGCAGGGCTGGGGAGCTTAGCGGGGCTGTGGTGGGCAGCGCTGCGGCATGGCCAGCACCAAGCCCCGCTTGGTTCCTTTGCTCTCCTACCCACGAAACGGGTGCAGGAGTAGCAATTTTACACCACAGCAGCTGCATCCACATCTGGATCTGGCCAAGAGGGCCATGCTGGGGGGAAGAAGCATCCCATGAACCGGTGGGCTCATCCGGACGCTGCCCTCTCCCTGCCTTCCAGGAGGTTTCACCACTCCCTCACCGACAACAACCGCTGGATCCGGGAGCGGAGCCACGAGTCCTACGCCAAGAACTACTCCGTTGTCTTCCCCCACGACGAGCCGCTGGCGGGGCGCAACGTGAGGAAGGACCCCCTGCACGAGGTGAGGACACGCACCCCGACCCGGGCTGTCGTGCGAGGAGCGATGGGAGACCCTCGAAGCATCCTTGCAGCAAAAGAGAGGTGGCAAGGAGCAGCTGCGGCTGTATCGCTCTCCAAAGCAGCGTGCTGTGTCCGTGCTCCCATCCATCCATCCTGGGAAGATCCCTGCTGAATCCCAAAGCTTGCCGGGTGCGTGCTGTGAGGGTGCTGGGGCCAGGGACAGTTTAATGCTAGAGATGGCAAGCATTCCCCTAAGCTTTAACTTAGCAGATATGGCTTAAGAGCCTGGTGATGGTCGCTGGGCAAGGGAAAAGTGGCGAGAGGGGCTCGGAGGCTTATTTCATTCACTGCCAGCCCAGCTCGGCTGTGGGGTGCAGG